TAGCAAGGCAGCGCTTTTTTTTCCAAGGTTCTAAGAGGACAGAAGAATTCTCTGGAAATATATTGGCTAAGGGCCAAGTCTATGGGTGGAGTAAACATTTGTATGGAAAAGGTATTTAAGTTAGGGTTACCTAGGTACACAGAAATGTTTAGGTAAATTTGTTCTGCTTATTACTACATTCCTTTCCATGCTAGCCCTTCAATTATTCTTCAAAACCAAGGAGGAATAATGTAATCATTAGTATAAAATAACACATCTAGTGGTATTATTTTAAGAAAAATATTTGCTTTTTATTCCATAGAAAAATAAAACATGCATATTCTCAAGAAATTTGGGACTACTAATGGCCTATCTTGCTTATTAGGTATTTATGACATTACACTGTACTTTTAAGTAATAAACTTTAGTTTCATAGACAGCTAACACTCAAGTTTTATAGGCTTTTTTGGTATAGATTATGCTTAATTTTTTTGAACTGTCCAAGTAATCATTAAAACAATGACTTGTAAATAGTTAATAAACATGTGTACACTGAATATAATACTAGCTGTTTCCTATTAACTATTACAAATCTTCACTATATTTTAAGAATTTTAACCAAATTCTTTTGGTTCTAATAATAACATATGAAGACTAGAATAACATCTAAATTAAATGCTGTGATAATAATTTAACATTTGAAAAAAGCCAAGTTTTTCTTCTTGGATGTAATAAAGAAACGTAGAATAACCTACCTGCCCATGACCGGAATGTTGCTATGATTCCCATTTTACTGGCTAGAAACCGTGCTTCCCTGTCTTCTCTGTTGAGGGATGGGGAGACATCAAAGAAATAAAACGTTAAACATAAAATGAGTTTTTCCTGCTACTGTATGAGTTACCACTAGTTAATGTTTAAATATTTACACATGAAATTAAAATAAGATGTTAAAGATTAGATCTACCCCAAAGCAAATTACCCAACTATAAACTGACCCCCAATTTAAAATTGGTTTAAAATAAATTACAAATTCTGCTTTTCAGAATGGTTTAAAATAACAAAATGGTTTAAAATAAATTATAAATTCTGCTTTTCCATTTAGTTCTATGTTCCCTGCTATTTCTGAAACTATTCTTAAATGAGTTTTAATTAAGCATTAGAGAGAACACTACTCTGCTTAATAAGCATCTGTGGTACATGACTGCCCCTTAGCAAAGAAAATTACCATATAAACTTCTTAATTTTATCACATGCATTCTCTTTACTTCAAAATCCGAGTCCCAAACTTACTTGAGCATTTTCAACAAGCAAGTTGAACAACCTATATAGTCACTGAAATGTTATCAAAAAAACTAGGTATTAACATTACCAGCTACTTTCTTCCTTGATAATTATGTGTCTGTCTCGATTGTTCTTTTCTATATAGTTGTTATGACAATGAATTAAGCAATAGAACTATTTATATTTGTTAAACATTTTTCACGGTTGCCGTATGGCCAGTTTCAACACTTAACAGCAATCTTATAACTCTTTATTATGCTACTCCAACTACCATCTGTACCCTGCCGATTGTTCATTTTTTCCTATGTCATCTTTTTTTTCTTCCCTAGTTAAATTCTTAATGGTTTCCAGCATACAGAAACTCAGAGAACTGGGAACAAAAAAAGAGTAGAAAGAGTAATAAGCAATGACAGAAAATCAAATTAGACAGTAGTAAGCAATCAGATAGTCTACAAAACAATGAAAAGCTAAAAGAAAAAGACTAAGCTCTGTAGCACCAGTCAAAATGAGAATATAACAGTAATTAAAATGGGGGGGAGGGTGGAAGAAGGGAGAACCAGACACCTGTGTGATTAAACTCTCAGTGTTTCTTCTCTTAAAAATGTTGGTGACATACTTATATTGATTGCCTGGAAATCCATCTCTAATCTATTAGATAAACTTGTAATAATTTTTAAACTACCCATTTCCCTTCCCTGGTTATAATGCACCCTTATCTGGCCTGCATCTATTAATTATCTGCTCATACTCCAGCGACTTAAAGTACAGAATCAAATAGGAAAGGAAGGATTTTGGTAGGATGTCCCCATCCCACCCCCCAAAGCTAAAAAATATCTAGGTTCATCTCTTGTTCATCATGGTATGCAGAATTCTAAAAATGGCTCCACCCCAAGATTCCATGTCCTGATCTCTGGATCCTGTGAATATGATAAGATATCACTACCATGACTGTGACTACATTTATGTTATATAGTCTAGCAGAGCATAAGACAGGGAGATCACATGGCAAGTTTGATCTAACTGGAGAGCTTCTCTAGCTGGTGACTGAAGAGAAAGAGAAATTCAAAGCACTAGAAGGATTCAAGCATTGTTGTCTTTGCAGATTGACGAAGCCATATGCCAAGGAATGTGAGAGGCCTCTAGTAGGTGAAAGTAGGTCCTAGCTGACAGCCATCAAGGAAAAAGGGACCTCAGTGTATAACTGCAAGGAACTGAATTTTGCCAACAACATGAATGAGCTAGGAAAGGGATTCTTTACCAGAGCCTCCAGATAAGAGCTGAGCCAGACTTCTGACCTACCAAACTGTGAGCTAATAAACTAGTGCTGTTTTAAACCACTATTTGCAGTCATTTGTTATGCAGTAAGAGACAACATTCTCATATTTTCCATCAATAAAGAGAATGTCCATATCTCATCAGAAGCAAAGAAAAGGGCTTAAGAATTCCAATTCATGACTAAAGTTAGCAGGAGTAAGTCTGAGACATCTTGAATAGAAGACATCTACTCTGATTTCTTAACTCAGGTCATAGGTTAAGGTGTGATAATGAGTCCACAGTGATGGATGTGATCGAAAATATGAAACCACTATCTTTAATTCAGGAGAAAAATGAAAATAAAATGAAAATTCCCTTCTTCAACAATGTTTCAAAGCTTAGTGAGGAATTTTAAAACATATATCATCATAATAAGTATGTCTACAATCCAAAAACCCTACTAGAAAAACTTTGCAAAATCTTCATAGACAGTACATTTGATCCCTAAATCATTTTAATTATAGTCTTCTCTGAATACCTAGTGAACATGTGCTTTTCTCTCCAAAAAGACTCTGAAAATTACACTGCCTCATTTCTAGAAAATAATCTTTACTCTACTCCCATTTATTTCCCTATTAACCTTACTCTCAAAATTCTACATATTACATTATTCTGCTGACTCAATTTGTTAAGGCGACTCTTCATTCTATTCCCTACTGTTATTTAATTATTTTAGTCTCTTAATTATGCTAAAAATACATACAACAGAAAAATAAAGATCTAGGTTTCTACTGTAGTCTCTTCTATTTGTTGAAATAACAAATTAGTCTTTAAATTTCTCAAAGCTTTCAACTCTTTAAACCACAGTAAATTATGAAAGAAAAACAACATAATTCCATAAAATAGGAAATTCACTCAAATTCACATTTTTCTGGTACTACATGCAATCAGGCAAACCTAAAAGCTTTAATATTAACACACACACACCAAGGGTACTTACTTGAGCTGTCCTTCAGCTGTATCTGGACTATGTCTGTAGTGAAAATCAGTATAGGGTGCTAAAATTCGCTAATTAAAAAAAAAGAAAGAAAAAAGAAAAGAATCTTGATTATAAAATACATTCTTCCTAATAAACTAAAATCGATTCCATCCTCTCTACTTTGATTGGGTTTACTGCTTAAGAGACTTATTTCTTCAAACTCATTAAGGAATATGTTGGGTGATTTTTTTTTAAATGTACAAATTGCATTTTTGAACTCATAAATTTAGTTATAACATATATCTATAGCAGGGACAAATCATGAATGAGAAGTTTGATGGATTTCTCTCAAACTAAGCATACTTATGTAACTAGCATCACCAGATAAAGATTACCA